TTTGGGTAAGGTACTTTTTGTCCAAATTAGATCTCCTTAAAGGGATATCAGGTACCTTTTCGAAAGGGGGAAGGAAAAACCCGCCTTCGGTTTTTGGGGGTCTTATCATAAAAAGTTACCCCCCTTTTGGGAATGAAAAATTCCCCTCTTCATTCCAGAAATCGTCCTCAGGGGTATTAAAGGACTTTAAGGCACGGCGCATCCTAGGATTTGTTTTGGTGTCTATACTTGGGGTCAACACCCACTTTAAATTTAAAGCTTGTTTGGAAACCTTTAAAGAATTCCCCAAATTTAAAGTTAATTTTCTAAATCTTCCCCTTGGCCAGGCCACTGTACTTTTTAGGCCCTGGTAGGAGTGGTAAAATTGACCTAAAATTGCTAAAGTTCTTTTGATTAAGAATATCCATTCCTCTGATAGGAAATCTCTTCAACGTTTCCTAGGAATAGGATTTACAGAAAATTCTGTAAGAAAATTTTTCCGATATTGTACCCCCTTTCTCTCTTACCAGTCATAAAGTTCCCTTTAATTGGACTAAAAATTGAACACTGCTTTTTTAAAAAAGCAAAAAAGATTATTGTGTTTTCACCATTCTCTTGTCTCCAGACTTCTCCAAACCTTTTTCATTAAGGTTGTGCTTGTGATTGGGGTTGGGGCGGTACTATTAAAATCGGGAACAAGGAGCTGCAGCCAATCGCTTTTTTCGCCAAGTTCCGCCCATCAGAGAGCTTTCTCTACCATTTAAAAAAAAGCCCCCCCCCCCGCGCTGGTAATGGCTTTGGAGCATTTCGATTTTATTGGGGGAAACTCGAGGTGGTCACAATTTTCAGTGTCACCCGTTTGTTTCTCCAACCTGAAGATCCAAAAACAAGGGTATGGTTGGCCTAGGCTGCAGCCCACAAAAATTTTTTTATTAAAAATATTGCCCGGCAAAGAAAATGTGTTGGAGATCTTGTCAAGAGTCTAGTTTAAATTTTATTTTGGTTTGGTGTATTGTGGGAACCCCCTTTAAGCCTTTTTTTTTCCCCTGTTTTGGGGGGTTTTTTTTAGTGAGGGGGTACGGGACCGTCCCCCTTGTATCTTGGGCCTATGTGGGTTATCTGATGCTGTCTCACTTGAGTTTTTGGGTTTGGGTTTCAGGCACAGGAAAACTGAGCTCTATCTAGGTTGATGGGGGGGAAAGGCGGTCCCATTATTTTTTTCCATGGCGGGACGGTTCCACTGGGAGGGGGCAGCCTAATCCGAGCCTTTTCGGGGGGGGGGGGTGGGATGCAAAGAGTACGTAACCTTTATTCGGGGGCATGGGCACACCCTAATTTTAAAGGGACTCCCCCAACCAGCGAACCGGTTGCTAAAGTTGATGATGGGGCCCCTCGTTCAATAGTGACCAGGTTTTAGCCAATAAAGGGGGGTTGACAATCGCAGAGGTTTTGGATCCGTCTCCGTTGCCCTTGTCATTCCCTTCAAGCTGGTTGAAGCATCTGCTTTTTTTGTGGCTTCTATTTCTGCCTTGTTTCCGTGACGTGCACATATTTTTTACTGTACATTTGTACTATTTGTTCTAAAATTTTGGGGAAGGATAATATAAGTAAACTTTTTTTTCTGTGTTTATTTGCTCCCATTACACCTGGTTAACAGGCCTTTGAAAGCCCAGGTTTTTATAGTAGCCAGGGGGCGACTGTTGTCTCTAGTGGGTCAGAGAATATTGGATAAGGCAGTACAAAGGGGGAGGTTTCAGGAGTTGCTGGAAGTACTTGCGACCCGGGCAGCAGGTTATGGCGTACTGGACGCGTGTTCCAACGATGACGGAATCAGTGAAACAGCAAATTGGTTCACTAATTGGGATTGTTCTAGATCATGAGGGCTATAAGATGGAAGGGGAAGAATACAAAACTCTGGCTCAGCTATGGGGCAAACATTTCCGTGCTGTGGGAAAGGAGGGATGGGCGACAGAGCTATTGATACAAGATGCCCATCAGAGGACATTACATGGGGGGTTTGGAGATACCTTCACCTGCATACGTCAGAATTATGGGTAAGAAGGTCGAGCTGCCATCAAAAGGGTGCTAAAGAGTTGCACGGTTCTGCGGCGGTACGATGGGAGGACCCTACCCTACCAGGTCCACCACCGCTGTCAGGAGCGGGGTACATAGTGAAGGCCTTTGAGACGTGGATAGAGATAAGGGGGCTATCACATTGTAGAACCCAGGAGACGTTAAGGAGGGACCCTTCAGAAAGTATAAATGGTCTGCCTGTTTACTGTGCACTACTCGAGGCGCGTTTGAATTTGGAGTTGGCAGAAGATACGAAGACTGAGACTTTCGTGAAGTTGTTCAAGGAGGTTTACTCGCCAGATTTATCGTGCCCGCGATTGATTATCTCGGACAATGCGGCACAAGCTTTAGGGCGGACGATCAAGTTTTCAGGAATCTTAGGGTGGACACGGAGAAGTAGAGAACACTGAAGAGAATAGAGTGCGAGCAGGTGGAGGTTCATTGCTCCCAGGCACCCTGGCACGGGAGATTCTATGAACGCATGGTGGGCACAGTCAAAAGGTTGCATTCGGTGGTATTGAGGAGGTAGGTGTGGAGGGTGAGCTGTGATGAACTGAGGGACAGTGTTAGTTTGAGATAGAGGCAAGAGTTAATAACAGGCTCTGACTACGTACAAAAAGGGGATATTGACGAGCAAGAAAGGCTTACCAAAACCCCCTATCAACTTGCTGTTTGGAAGAAGGATTGTGGCCCTTCCCCGCAATTTTGAGTCAGTCTTCCAAGGAGCTGGATTATTATGGGCCAGATGGTCCCCCCATCAATGAAGAACTGCACAGGAGTCACAACAGACTGGTGAACATCCTGGACAAATGGAACCAGGTGTGGCGCAGGGATTACTTGACAACCTTGCGAGAACATTTCTATGGTGCCGACCCCGAGGCGAATAAGATGATGCTAAGTGAAGGGGACCTGGTGCTGGTAGAATCCGAGGCACCGAGGGCATACTGGCCTCTTGGCCTGGTAGTGTCAACCCACCCAGACAAGGCTGGGCGGTTGAGAATGGTGAAAGTGAGAATGAACGGTTTCGAGACTATAAGACCCATCAACAGGCTTTTGCCTCTCGAGGTCCACACGGTGGGACCGGGACATGAGAAATCAGACCAGAGGTTGAGCGAGCTGAGCGGGCCGGACGACCCGTCGAACGGCGCTCGAGTCCAGGGCCCACTGGGGGGCCTGCGGGAGGCAGACTTGATCTAGACTTAGCGCTACCTTCGCCGGCGGGAGGATGTGGAAATTTATTTGGTCCAAATAGTTCCACAGCTCAGATCCAGCATGAGCGTACTGGTCGTCTGAGCTGAGCGACCCTTAAACCCCTCCCAAACAAGCAAGGCATTCTCTGGTGGCGGTTGGTAAGCTTATTTAATTTATAGATTTACTCTTCAGGGAAGGAGTAGGTAGGTTTACTGGTAATACACTAATATTAGGTTTACTAAGGCATCTGTAGATAATGATAGAGTAGACCTAAGACCTTAACATAGGTAGTAATAGGCCGATAATGTAGGCAAACACTAGGATAAAGTTAGCTAGGGAGAACTGGCAGCCCTAGCTTGAATGGCGGGGCGCAGGTCACAAAGACAGAATAGCGTCCTTCTTACGATAGACTTCGACTGGACAAGACGTGCCGTGTGAACATCAGGCGGCGCCCCCACGTGTCTTCACATCTGAGACCTGGGAAATCTGGTTGAGACACCTCGATGTACCATAGATGATCTCCTCCATCAGCCCATACAGTAAGACGAGATATTCACCTTTTCCCGTAGGATCTGCCCCAGTGACTTAGGAGATTGTGGATTGAGTTAACTGAGGGCTCGGCGTGCTACAGAGAGAGTATGCCCAGTAAGTACCAGCGTCTCAGAGTCGTCTGAAGCTAGCGTCTGTGTCTGCATAGTTATACTAGGGGATACATACCCTCTTGGATATAGGAATTTCTGAGGTGCAGGCAGGACACTAATAACGATTGAATATTGCAGGAATTAATGCTCCCGGTTGCACGTGGTTCCCAAGGGGAAGTCCAAGGGGGCTAAAGCTAGGCTTAGGAAGTTGAAGATCAGGATATATGCTGCAACACCAAGTAAGTTAGCCCTTTATACGTGCATGCAGGCGAGGTTTCTTGCAATAGCAATCATTTGTGAAAATCTGTCCTATAAGCCACTTGTGAGGCTGAGGTACCCATCTCAGAGCTCGGTGTCAACAGAGTTTGCCAGGGTAGGCGACTCACTTGGAGGCAGTCCACACAAATTTTCACAATGTTTATTATGCACCCCATACTCATCCTGTGAGCGGCAGTCAAAGGATTACAGAGGTACATAATAGGTCCAGGGACTGGACCCCAAAGTTTTGATAGATGAACAAGGTACAAAGGTAATGAACTCTCAAGTTACACAAGTAATGAATCATCTACACGTCTTATACATAAATGAGAGATTGGTGGACTGACTGGTGTCAATCTCCTTCAGTCTCAAGTCAGTGAAGGTCAGTGGCAGTTCTTTTCGTATTATTGTTATCAAGCTGCTGATTGCCCAATATTGTAATCTACTCCCCACTTTGAAGATATGCCTGTGCCAATTCATCAGTTCTATCATGCATCTGAGAACTAATGTGAGACGGAATCCACAGAATGTGCACTCTGACTCTACTGTCCACAATCCCACCATACCTGTGTCTGAGTGAGGCTCCTGACTCTGCCGGTGTTTAAGCCTAGGGTCCACCTGATCTAACTGGGGAATATCACTGTCATTTAAATATTTCTCTTTTCGGAGGAAACTTTATTTCCTTTCTAATTTCCGATCCATATTTGAGCACCATATTCTCCGGGACTCAGGGTAGAGCAGGGTTCAATAAGCCGTACGCTTTAGTGGCCTTTACGCAGCATCCCAGCAGCAGCAGCAGCGGCAGCAGCAGCAGCAGCAGCAGTAGCAGCAGCAGTACAACAACAACAGCCCGCCACGATGGCCTCTCTGTCACGCACGTGTATTTTATGTAGCGACTGTCATCCTGAAACATTCATAGGAGTAACTACATACATAAAGGAGCACGTCTTGATTACTTGCAAAAGTGTTGTAAAGGATTATAATGTAAGAGTTGTCGATTTATCTCTTGAATCTCTGGGATTTTTATACCCCTTGAGGGGTATAAAGCCCTGATGCTGGTGAGGGGCTCTTGATCTAGGGAATTGGAGCTGTGCTCCAGTTCCCTGAATTAAGCGTGAAGGCCTTCCATCACCCCCCCCCCCCACAGGCGCTGTGGGGGATGGAAGGTGTTCAGCGCTTCCCCATGATTATAAAAATAGTCTTTTTTCCTTACACCTGCTGTCCCTGTTCACCTAGCACCAAGTACCTGGGTGTTAGTCGATTGGTGTGGGTCGCATCCTGGGGGACAAGATTAAAGGACCCCAATTTAAATAAGACTGACAGTCCTTGATGATGCACTGACTTGGGTTATCCTGGGTGGATAACCCTGAGTTAAAAATCCAAACAAATCCTATCAGCTTTTTTTCACGACTTTTTATACTTCTAATAAATAATGCAGTTTTGCTTGAAAACATAGAAACCAGAAAAGATTGCAGGAGTTGCAAGATCAGTCAAGTTATGATAGTTATTTTGGTCATCAGGTCACATGCAACAATATTCTGGTTCATGGTCTGACTCTACTGTCTTCTGCAGTAGAGTCAGACTTTAGGCCTAACTGCAAAAGAAAGAACTCAGAATTGTAATTAAAAGAATGGGAGTTGTCACAGTTGCTTTTTGCTGATGTAAATTGTATGTTACCAGGTATTCAAAATGCTCCTCTCAAAGGTCAGTACTTCTTCAAAGTTCTATTATTTTTTCTTACAGATAGGTTCACACTGATCCTCCGATCCAGAACCCATTCAGAAAACTAAACCCAGACTAGGTGTTTTTTTAAAATCCTGACATTAGTAACTCTTCCAGGGATGATTGATAGGATTCCTTAAGTATCACCTTAATTATAAAAAGGTTGTTATGGTATTATACATTTTTTTTGTGTGTGTGTGTGACGACGTCCCATGTGCATACGTTTTGTGTATATGTATAAAAATTCTTCTTTTATGCCAACTCTTTCCAGGTGAAATACCAGCAGGAATGTAAACGAGATGTACAGTATTAGGATATTTACTGAGGAAATGTTTCACTCAAGGAAGCTTTGCCAATTCAGATAAAGCTTCCCGAGGCCTGGTCTGTGACCAGGCCTCGGGGGCGTTGACCCCCAGAAACTTCTCCAGGTAAACCCAGTAAAACCCCTCAGTAAATATCCTAATACTGCATATGTCTTATTTATGTTCCCTTCTTCCTCATGATTTGCAAAGTGGCTTCAGCTTTGACATATTGTTGTATTTGGTGTAGATGCAAGGGTTGACTGCAAAAATGGGAAGAATACCATACAAAGACAAATGAAGGCAAAAGAGCTTGTCATGTATATTATTTTCTTAAAAGATCTTGTGTGCATTTTTCTAGGTTCTTGATCGGAGACAAGAAAGAAGTTGGACAACAAAGAGTTGGAATCCTTTCACTTCAGCTGCAGTTTATGACCCGACAACAGAAAACATTGTAGCAGTCTTCAACAATACAATATTATCTCGGTGGAAACATGATGAAGATGATGTTGATAAAGTCAAACGACTTATTGGGAAGTGCACCTTTTATTTTTTACACTTATCCAAGTACACGAATATTGTAATTTGTTTTAGAATATTTTCATTAACCTTTGTTACTGAATGCATTTACGGTGGAACCTTGGTTTTCGTATACCCTAGTTGGAGAAAATTCTCTATAAAATGTATTTTTTGTTAATATTTTTGGGTGTCTGGAATGGATTAATTGGTTTCGTTCCAGACACCCAAAAATGTTAACAAAAAATACATTTTATAGATAATTTTTTCCAAGAATTTTCTCCAACTGGGGCATATGCAAACCGATGTTCCACTGCAGTATATTTTGCACATAAAAAAGACAAAAGCACAAATTTAATTACTCTGATTTAGTTACTCTAATTAAGCTGATTTTGGACTTAACCAATAACACATGTAAAACAAAATTACTGTTTTTTGTACCCATCGAGGATTAGAAATCTGGCAGAAATTAAAGCAGTTTCATTACTTTACATATTTTTAT